TCACTCAATAGTCTTTTCATTGGCTGCCTTCCAGGTGGCTTTTCTTGCACATGCTTTCTCTCACACTGTATGCTCTCTGGTGTTTGGAGCCCATCTGGTTCTATGTATGGTGGTCTCTATTTGTCATGTCCAAAATGAAGTAAGAAATATGTGCCGGTATTCTTTTTGTTTTCATATTTGTCAAGATCAAGAACCGGGTACTGGGTTTAGGATTAAGAGTTGGGTGACTGCCCAAAAAAATCTAGTTTAATAGCTTACTTGTGCCTGGGTGACATAAAATATACACATGAAATAATTATGGTGTAACTGTGTGAGAACTGTAGAGAGCAGCTGATAAGTTCTGCTTGCACCTTTGACTGTTCACTAGTTCTAGTCTGCACAGGAGGATCGAACCACTGTCAGTAAAACAACATTTTCTGCTCACCACAGCTGTAAATATCTATTACAGGTACCTTCTGCATAGTATAGAGTTCCTACGCTGCTGTTCTGAACATACTTATAGACTGCTGTGTACAGTCACATTTTTCCTCATTCTAATTTTCCAAGTTATCATTACAGTTTATGACTTGTATGTAACTGGTTCTCTTTATAACCACAAGCAGATGTATTGGTGTTTGTAATAAATTTGAGTGTTTGGTTTGTTTTACACACACATTAATGAGCTATCGCTGCAGCACTTTTTCAGACACTGTCTCACTTTACTTTTAATGTCTGAGCTGAAATCTTTATGGTCAATGCACCTTTATTTGATACCAAGACATCTTAGTTTCACAATATGTACAGGTTACGCTATATTTGTCATTAAATTCTTGTTTCGGATAAGGAAAACATCAAGAAGAGCAACTAAGGAGGGATAGCTTTCCCGCTAGACAGACATTAGATGTTGGTGTGCATAATTATATAAAATTAACAATAAAGATGCTTAAACTTTCAGAATTAGGCAGTATAAGCAGATGACTAACACGATGTGACATGACAACGTGCAGCTTACAGATTTTGCTAAACAGATAGACCCTGTCCCACCCACTCTTCAAGACATGCAAGTGCAAACTTGTGTGGAAAAACATTCTTTTTCGAGTAGATAAAGAAATACTTTCAAAGAATCAG